TATTAACACAATTGGATGCCAGCTGTCTCAGTGATCTAGAGTTTAAGCGTTCGCGCATGAGACCGATAGGTCTTGGGTTCAAATCCCTCCGTGCGGGATCGTGGATGCGCACTACAGAGGAGTGGGATACTAGGATGAAACAACCGTCCAGTACTTCCAGGTTTTTCATGTTGGTCTACCTTTAACTGACTCATGAATTTAAAAATAAAATTTTATTAATCATTTTCTATTATAAACTTATCTTTAGTAAGTCGTGTTTATCACTTGTTTTTGATTAGCATTCCAACTGATTTTAAAATGACCAAACGATTACGTATATGAATTTCGACTGACATAGTTACACTCTTAGTGATTTATTGACAAGAATAAGTTTGACTGAATGATATATTTCACTATTAATACCGTTGGATGCCGGCTCAGTGGTCTAGAGGTTAAGTGTTTTCGCTAGAGATCGAAGGTCCTGGATTCGAGTCCCACATATGGGATCGTAAATGTTCATTGACGAGAACGAAACGGCAGTCCAATGCTTACAGGTTTTCAATAGTTGTCTAACATCGATTGGTCCGTGATCTCACTTGAAACTTAACCAATTTAACATGATAGTAAGAAAATAAATTCAACCTGAGATAACTGAATTTCATAAACCATCAATGCTCATCAACTAACTTGGTATACTAAAATGACATAAAATCAAGTTATTTCAATCCAAAAATTTTATCAAAGCATTCCACATAAGTCATAAGAAATTAGAACTTGACTGACGTTGATAAAAAATTTAGCAATAATGTTAGCACTAATAATTATAATACGTTCCGCCAAATTGTAATAGGTCAAGTGCACATCTTGTATACGAGTAATATATAAATAGATCATAAGCAAAACTGGATAGTGTTTAATAGTGGGATCCAGGACGCTTGTTTCATCCTATTTGGGACCCGTCACCTGGATGTACCTACATTCCAGAGTTGATGTTCGCTCCGAGACTCAAACCCAGTACCGTTTGCTTCAAGTAAAACGACACTAAATGAATTGATAGGTATTGGGAATAAATCGTGTAGTGTTTCAATTGACTTGTCTTCTCTCACTTGCGTGCATGTCAGCCAATCAGGTGATAGAATAGTTTTCGTCGCTCTCTACACCAGTCAATTGATTTCACTTCGAACTCACGCATACAAGCCTCAAGGTCAAGCCAATTAGTCTATTGAGTCAAGATCTTAATCTAAATTAGACAAGTTATCCTCTGCACAAAACTGGGTAGACAGATCAAGGACGTGTTAGGTATCCATACCAAAGTTGAAGTTGATAGTTTCAAATAAATTAAGGATTTTTAGCATTAAAAATATTTTGTATTTCTCTGAAGAAGTGGATTTCATACCAATTAGTTTCTGTTCCCATTCTTTCCTTCTTGATCTTCTACTGAAATACATTCTATGCCTGACCATCATTATATATTACTTGTGTGGATATAAGTAGCTCGTACCACAATTATATTTATCTATCATATCCATATATTAACAGTTAGTATTAGAAACTGATTAAATGTTAATTGGAAACAAAATAAACTTAACAATTTCTAATTAATGTCATATAAACAAACTTGTTACAGAAATGTCTACAGATACTACTTCATCTATAGACTTTTTCTTGAGGACAAAGAGGTTTGTTGAGATTAGATGGTGGTTGGAGGTAGTCAACAGGAAACCCTGGACCCGGGTTTCGTGCTACTTGGCACTCGTCAGCAAGGTGTACCTGTAATCTTGAGGGAACTCGTGCTCCCTGGCGGATTCAATCTCGTGTCACCCAGCTTCACAGTCAGAGACGTTACCACTGAGCTATCCGAGCCGTGACTGACCTCCTGTAGGACTGAGATGTAATCACAATTGATTGATCACTGGGTGGTGATCAATCTCATGCTTGTCTAGTCCTTATTAGTGCAGATCGAATGCTATCGATCAGTGTCGAGTCACCTAGACTGGTGGCCACATTGCAACATGATCGATAGCATTCGATCTGCACTAATAAGGACTAGACAAGCATGAGATTGATCACCACCCAGTGAGCAATCAATTGTGATAAAGAGGTATGTTATCTTGTTTATAACTGAATTACGAATGACACTGAACTACATTTAAATATTCGTCAAACATAGGCATATAGGGATAAAAAAGCAAACAAAAACGTATCGTGTACAGTTCTTTAGTTTCAAGACAAATTACATTGACAATACCATTTTCTTATATTGGGCGTATTTTACGCAAAATATTAAGAACTACGAAAGCCATCATCCACATGATACAAGTGTTTATTAACAGTTGTCTATTTCGGATCCGTTGTCCAGATACTATCAGTAACAACCTTCTGTGAGAGAGAAAAAATCAGATTTCAGCAGGGGATGAAATCAGGAAGAAGTGCTGGAAGTGGATAAGACCCACAATGAGGTAGGCACCTAACTGTGTCACAAGGCAAGTCACCACTTGTAATTCTTAAGGTCAAAAGAAGAGAGGAAGTGCAAAGAAAACATAAGGCCAAGAAATGGAGACAGACATGAGAAGAATGAAAGGAAGTCCCAGGACAGAGGGGGTTGGAGAACACCGATCGGCGGTCTATGCTCCATCGGGAGTCACAGGTACAAGTAAATGTGTTAACTAAGTAAGTAAATAAGAAACCTGGAATTTGTATGCATGTTACGATAAACCTACTTTAATGCTTTGATCGACTGATGAAAACCCCAAAATATAGGTTTCTTCATAGTCATAAATACAATCGTGATGCAGGTAATTATCTCTGTATGGTATAAACATCCTTCATACAGAGACAAAATCACGTCTGTGACCAATAATACATTCTGTATTTACTGATATCCTGTGAGACTGGAATGTATAAACAACAAGTAAGTAATCTCATATTTTCATGATCCTACACAAATTTTGGCCTGTGCATTCAGTTATTATTTCAATATCAGTAAAAATGCCAAAATGCCCTGGTACGTCCAACGGTCAGCACTCACATATCCACGTGCATACAACCACTGCCAGGGAAGTCCTACTCATCGCATTCTCGTGTCACTGGTATTGTTTACAAAGTCGAGGGGACGAAAACCAAATATCCTACACTTTAACCTGGTTAGTGGATATGGAGGATCCACCTAAGGGAGTTTGAAAACCTTGATTCGAAACCAATGGTGCACATGAACTCCAGGATCCTGAAGAAACAAATGGCGTGTGAACCTACTGTTGTTCACCCCCTACCATGGGACTGCATCTCCTGACGTAGTTCTATTGCCTTGTTGATCAGACCTTTAGGTCGAAGGCTCCAGGTGTGGCCTTCTAATAAAAGCACCTGCTTCCGTTTTGACAGTATCATAGCCCACACTCAAATCAAGTGACTTATGTGGCGCATATCTATTTGGTGCCTCTTTGTACCGATGTTTATATGTTTAAAATAAATATATAAATAAATAATATTCACTTAAGACGAAATGGCTAATCAGTAATATTAATGAGTGCTTCCGCCTAGTTTAGTATCATAAACAGTCGTATGACGGTTAAATTTCTTTCAGTGAATTAGAATCAAATCTACAATTTCATAACTAATAATCAGTCATAGTGGAACAGATTTTTCGCATTCACTATTCTGTCACTAAATGCCTTCTATGAATATGATTTTTCAGTTAAAAAAATAGTTAACGATGAATAAATATCAAGAATGGTGGAGAGGATTTATATCTTAGGTGAATGATTTTGATGGAGTTTTATTCTCTGAGCTAGATGGTTTATTCATGGAGCTTTCATCGTTCTTCTTCTGAACGACATCATTAACATTGTGGGGCCCTTAATTTTGTCGTCATTTAGATCGAACGATGTTGTCGAAAGGGCTGTCCACTTTAGTGGCACGAGATCTGACTCCAAAGTGATTGTAATGATGATTGTTGTTGAAATATATATGTTACCTATCCTCATGTATAATCATCGACTTTAATCGCGTTAGTCAATAACGGATTTAGATAAGTCAAATAACGAGAATGGACTTTTGAATACATATAATTTGGTATATGAAGCGAATGGAATAGAGAGAAGAGAAATGACACAGTAGAGATGGAGGGTAAGCCAACTCCTTCTTAGTCAAGCGTTAATTCATATTTATAGGCGCAAGAAAATAGGCTACAGACATGTGATGAGTAATGGGATAATAAGTGTACACACATCTACGCGCTCATATACAAACAGTCAAGACTGATAAGCGAATAACTAACATGGCCAAAATGTGACTCAAGTAGAATGAATAGAATGGGTTGGCCGAATGATAGAATAAGGTATATAGGCTTAACATAATAACCGACACTACAGCATAAACTTCAGATTGTAGAACACATCTATCTATCAAACCATCCAGCTTAGAGAATGAAACTCTATCAAAAAAAATATCAAGAATATAATGTAATTGATTTCATTAATAAATCAAAAATTTTGATAGTCAAATTCATGAGTCAATTAAAATTAGATCATCTTGGAAAAGTTGAAAGTACTAAATATCTGATATGGTGGAGAAGATTTGTAGCTCAAATGGATGATTTTGGTGGAGTTTTGTTCTCTAAGCTGGATGGTTTGGTCAATAAAAACCAATCAACATCGAGGTGCACAGAACGAGCTGTGAAACACATATGGAGAAATTTGAACGCTTCACTTCTGTCTGAAGTTTGTGCTGATGATGTCGTTCAGAAGAACAATGAAAAAGCTCCACGACCAAACCATCCAGCTCAGAGAACAAAACTCCACCAAGGTAGTAAATATCCATTTCATCTTAATATGGTATTCTTCAGCATGGCTCATTCACAATCTCAACCCCCGATAAGATTCGAACCCGATAACTTCGAACTTTTCAAAGTGATCAAGCTTTTATCGATTCATGAATTCAACGATTAAAAAAAAAACATTATTACTACAATCTTTACATAATAAAACTCACCACCTCCCTTAGTTAACATGAAACATTTCACTTACTTTTGGTTATTTTTATGTAATGGTATGTACTATATTGTATAAGACTATTTACTTATGTAATTGATGATTACGTAATGAAACAATATCAACCTGTTACTATGTATTACATAAATGAATAAAAATGGCAAAAAGGATCTTTTATAATCATAAATAGAGTAACAAATTGTGTTGTTTTTTGTTGTTGATTATCTTGTGTGCGTGTGTGTGTGCATGTGTGTGTGTGTGCGTAACAATTATGAAACAATAAAATTACAGAAACAATTATTATACTTTATTCTGATTGGTTTATATTATTCAAAAAATTGAGGTGGGAAAATTAAATAATCAGCAAAATTTATTAATTATCAGAGAGGGGTTTATGGTAGAGATTGTAATAAATTGTCATAAATGAATTCATGAGTTAATTAAAGTTAGACTACTATGAAAAATCTGGAAGGACTAGACGGCTATTTCGTCCTAGTATGGGACTCCAGGATCCCGTCTCAGGAGATTCCAACTCAGAACGTATCCGATTTGTGCGCGCGAGCGCTTAATATCTAGATCATTGAGCTGGCCAGTATCCAATAGTGTTAATGTCTAACTTCAACCAATTCATGAAAATTGAGCGCTGACGTCCATCATTGTCTTCAGTGAGTTGATATCTCACAACAGACCTGGTTGAAATTCACTGGTCACGGTTTCTTACTAGAACTCCAGGAAATCACTCTTGACGACAGTCACTAGTGTTAGCACATGATGATAAATATTATCAGTAGCGGTTTATGTGGATATTATAGTAACTTCAATAGATGTGATCATGAGTCAAAGTGTATTATTTAAAAATGAGAAATATGATAATGAATTTTAGGTTTTTAATTGAATCAATTCATATTCATGATAAATTAATACTAGAAGATTGTACTAGTTTTAATTTTAGAGCTTATCAGTTGTATAGAGCTCCATTTTTTGTATTCCCCCCCCCAAAAGAAAATTATAATCTTCTGAATTCTTCATATCCCTTTTTGATTACTGATTACACTTTTACTATCTCTACCACTATGGGATTTTAATGGATCATTGTATTTCTGTGCTAATATGGTATGGCAACTTGAGCTGATACACTTACTTACGAAGTTCTACGTTGTTACTAACTGACTGACTGACAGTGTTCATAGTTACATAAGGGATAGAAACCAACAACGATGTTTTACAAGGAGTGTCTTGAATAATGTTGGGAATCATCCTGGGAATCGTGAACATCATTTATTCAATGATTTGAGTATTTGAATTAAAAAGAAAAGAATTCTGATAGCAAAAATGTAGTTGTGAGATAATAATACGACTCATTGGTTATGAATTGTCCTTTTAAAAAATCTTTACAAATTACTTGAATTAATTTTTCTGGTTAGAGTTTTTTAGCGAGTTAGTTTTCTACGGGATGAGGTCGCTAAATCCCCCTGCCCAACCGTTCTCCTTTATCCGGTCATGAGACTGGCAGTAGACGCAGAAGGGCTCCAGACGGAGTTCTTTACAAATTAAAAACATCAATATTATTCCATAAAAACAAAAGAGTTATACATACTTTACATCAGAAATATCTCGATTATTAGACGTTAACAAACCCTTGATTTTGTGATAAGTTAGATTGTATTTTTGTATTATTCATTAACGTGATTAATGATTGAAACAATGAATCGTCCATAAGACCAGAAAGTATAGTGTTTTGTTTTACATGATTATCACAGTACACCCATTTGGCAACTTTTGTAGTAGACTGAAACGCAGCTTCAGTGTATAGTAGCATTGAAATCAAGTTGTTGAAGTTGAAGTTACGCATGTTATTCCCAATGGAGCACAGCCCACCGATCAGCATTCTCCAACACACTCTCTCATGAGAATTCCTTTCTACTTCTATCCTATTGTTGTTCATTCTTCTCATGTCCACCTCCATTTCTCGGTGTAGTGAATTATTTGGTCTTCCCCTTCTCCTCTGGCCATGCAGATTCCAAGGGAGGGCACGCCTTGTGACGCAGTCAAGTGCTTACCCCAGTGCTTCTTCATGTGATTTGTTCTTGACTTGTTCTAGATTATTATCTCCAACAATAGGTTGTTACTCATAGTGTCTAACAAACGGATTCGAAGTATTTTGCATAGACAACTGTTAATAAACACTTGTATCTTGTGGATGATGGCTTTCGTAATTCTCCAAGTTTCCGCCCCATACAGTAGAACTGTCTTCACATTTGTATTGAAAATTCTGATTTTAGTGTTGGTTGATAGACAGTTATTTTGAGTTGTAGATGTTCTCCAGTTGTAGGTATGCTGCTGTTGATTTGCCGATTCACACATTCACATCTGCATCAGATTCACTGTGTTCATCAATCATGCTGCCCAGATATGTGGCAGCCTAAATACTTTACTAATAGTGTAAAGTGAGATTATTTCGTTTCAGATAATTGTGTTCAGATTGTTGATGATAAAGTTCCTTATGTAGATTATCATTGTTGTTTTGTTTCATGCTTCTTTTGGACATTCCTTCTTGAAATCCTATTGATAATATTTTCTCATGGAAACCTTTGAAATAAACAGTATAATGTTGTTTGTGAAATTACATCCCTTATTCTGCTTCAACGTGCGAATTTTTCTAATGTAAAAATCTTGGTCATTTGTTAGAACACAATTTAATTAAGTTTTGTGTTCTTCTTGTACACAACAATGGTTTATCTAGAAACTATTCAAAAGAGTCCAAAGCCACTTGTCTTCTACCACAACATAAAGATTTGAAGAAACTCATCCTTCATTTGTCTTTAGTAACATTGTCACTCACAGACCGATTCATTCTGTTTTAAGCAAACGGAGTAATAACAGAAATGAAAGAAAAACACAGCATGATTCATAAATTCCATTCATTCATCATTAGTTTTATTGTAATGGTATAAAACTCAGATGGGGACAACCAGTTTATTAATACGTACAGAACATATTCAAAATATACGAGAACCATACATTGAATGTTTCATTTGCAAATCTTCCATCAACTGTCTTTTACATTCTTCCAATTCACAATTCCTTTCTATTTCCGTTTCTATTTACTTCAATTCAATCTTCTTAACCTTCTGCTGCCAGCCACTCAGCTTTCGATTAGTGTCACCTACTATATATGTCTGTTGACATATGTAACATACACCACAATTTGATCTTTGTCATTATTATTTTTGATGTTCCACAACCTTCTCGTTTATAATGAATTTGTTTGCAATTCCTTTATCCCATAAATTTCATTTTATCCTTTGATCACCATAATGATGTGTATATACTTTCAATGGACTTCACTTGTGTATATAAGTTGACTTTTGTGTGCAGTTTTGGTAATAACATTTCATGGTTTTTAAGTAGCTGATGGGGATTTGGAGAAATAACATGAATTCATGTTATCCTATCCGAATACCTGTTCATGATCTACTCAAGTTCATAAACTAGCAACTATATGTGTGAAGCAAATCATAGATTGTCAGCTTGCAGTAATACATATTTGAGAACTGATCTATCCAAAATATAGAATTGTTCGTTAAACAAATGTGTCTCGTGTTTCCTATTGCAATTTTCGTACAGCTGAACAGGTTCTGTTGATAATTTTAGAGGATAAGAGAATCGACGTAAACAGACATCTGGTGGTTGAAATATATATGACCATGCAGTTAGGAATGAACCGATCGTAGATATTTCCCAGTGAATCAAATGAAATTAACATCCTATTTGGATTAGGCGATGAGCAGTGATAACCTGAGTGCTGTTCTAAACGACTGTAATAACCGGTGTGCCTACCAACTATCCGAAACAACTTAAAATAAGGAATTGCAAAGATTGATGTTGATTCTAATCTCACTTCACTAGTGAAACAGAACTGTGACTGACGTTTTGATGGTGCTCATCATCTGTTGTACTGATCACTGGACAAGCCAACAAAATGTGCGCCATTCAAAGTCAAACCATGGATTAATTAGACAACAAGACTTGTAAGCACATTAACAATATTATTCGGAACTACATGTAAAAGTGATAATCACTAGGTTTCGAACGGGCGTGTATCTTCAAACTGCAATACTTCACTGAATTACTCTTTGACCGACTGTAATCGTGTTGCATCTGGTTTTTGTGAATTAATTGATAGTGTCAGATCCCTAACAGTTATTTGAATGAAAATTGATTCATTGTTTAAACGACATCTGCACATAGTGGATGAGTCAACTAAGGGAACCATTCAGATGCTTAGCATACACTTGATGTAACAAAATCCTGTAGTAGTCTAAATCTAGTCATATATCAAAAACCGACACATTCAAATTGGTATGTTGATTTTAACTCTGCAAATCCATTCAGTACAAAAATACCCCTAGTATTATATCTTTTCACAAGAGCAATCAAGATGATTATCTCAGAAAGAAACTGTATTTCTGTAAATAACCATCTTAATGAAATTTCTTGGATTGATACCGTAGTTTCACCTTACCCCCAAAGTACAACAGAAGAACTACAACACATATTAAGAACTTACAAAATGGTGTATATGTCACTAATCACATTAATCAGTATATAAACACGTGGAGCTGACACAATACAACATCTAACTAACAGTTTTTCGTCATCGAATGTCATATAGAATCTCCACAGAATAGTCACTTCCTCTCTGTTTCGAAGTATGTTGACAGACAAATTCATAATCTCCATGAAAATCAGAGATTTACAATAAAATGAAAACGGTTACACACCAAAGATAATTTTACGTCAAATTCAATACACCAACAAAATGAACGTAGAAAGTCACAGCAAAAAGAGTAGCTAATGAAACTACAAATGGTTATTTCACGGTAGAGTTGAATCAATCTGAAATGTTGATTAGAGGATTTCAAATACAATGAAGATCTAATCAATTACAATGGAATACTAAGATGTAGTTTGAATTATCCATTTTTGGAATGTATATCTTTGAAGTTGTTAATGGAATGTCAACTTGTAAATGTGGATGTGAAGGATAAATCATTTTCGATGTAACTGATGAACAAATAGAAGTGAGATCCAAAAGATAATCCTCCATTAACTGCTTCAATATTACCACAATGAATGTTGAAAATCCTTTTGCCTTCCGTGCAAATGCTTCTACTTGATCCGACGATTCCTAAAATTAAATTATTCAAAAAATATATAAACTTAGATATTGAAAAGTTTTAACTCCGTCTGGAGACCCTCTGGGGTTAGAAACCTCATCCGGTAGAAAAATAATTCACTGAAAAACGCCAATCAGAAAAAATAATTCAAACCACTTAAACTGTGCTTGAGAGTTAGAAGGTCTTCATTTAGGAATGTTATGACGTCTCATGGTGAAAGCCGAGTTCCTTCGGCAGTCATGAACTTAATGCTTCAAGTTCTGATGTTGAATGGTGATAATGAGTGAATGAGTGAACAACATTTTCCTTAATTTGTTCATGAAATAGCCATCTAGAATAAGTAAACATATTGAAACAAATGTTTCAACATAGTGATTAATGAACCTTTACCTAAACAACTCCAAACAAGTTGTTCATTGGCATGGCTTTCTTACTTAACATTATCAAATATCTTATGGATGCCTATGCCGATATCGTTATGTAACAAATAGATGATAACGGAATTCGATATAAGAAAATGAAGCAACAGAGTTGAAGAGTCGCTTATCTCTCATGAAATTGATCATGGTGATTATTGATGTGTGATATGATTTTTGACTTTGAATATTCCTTTTAAACATTAACTCACAGTGGTTGCGTGCGAAAACTACCTCAGAAAAAGTAAACTGTGAAATCACTTACTTCGCCAAAACTTATCCGCTCCATTGTTCCCCATTTCAAACTATGATGCTGACGTAAAGTCACCAATTTCTTAACGAGATTAAATTTTGATAGATTATTTCCCTCAGCAAGCTGAATCTTCAAAGAACAAAAAGATTGTCACATTCAGAATGATTTGTACAAGTGTTTGCATTATAACAGTACTATATGACTGAACTATTTCTGTCAACCAAAATAAATACTTTCACATATGGTATTCATTTCAAATGAAGCATCCATCAATTTATCACAAATTGTTCAATACCAATCAAGACTTGTATGTCAATAAGCATACAACTACATTCACTGAAACGGTAGCTTAAATTGATTGAAAATTAAGTCGGTTACCAGGTGAGTTCATTCATGACTTCACTCTGAAACCAGAGTTTCATTCGGTTTGCACTATTTCACCAATCATTTCAAGTTGTAACATGGTATGAAGTGAACTTTCCTGGAATCTATCAATGTCTGTTCATGTTCAGATTACGGGCATTCTATCACAATTAAATATCATTGAATTTTTCAATTCATAATTCACACAACGTTTCCTCATTTCACATTGTCATCCTAACGAATGTTGAATGAAGGAATCTTGAATAACATGAATAATCTTTATAACTTCATTATGAATGATGAATAGTTTAGCTCAACACTATCATAATTGATCATTAGTGGTAAACAGATGACCAACTTATTCCATTCTGTTTACTTTAATCATCAGCCATCAGATTGGAAATACTGAATGTTTGGAGAAGTGGACACATCATTTGAACTACTATTTTCTATGCTTGGGTATCCCTACTTACTTACGTCTGTTACTCACAATGGAGCATAGGCCACTGACCAGCATTCTCTAACTCACTCTGTACTGCGTTTGTACCTTACAGATATTGAATAAAGCTTGTCAGTTACTTTATATTAGACTTGAAAGGTTTTAATGTATGAAAGTCACTAATATAACTTACTTCAACAGTTTCCTTATGTGAATAACCATCCAAATAGTCACTAAAACTAGAGTCATTTATTGTTGCTGAAAATCTCCTCCCTTTGAAATCCCATGGCATTGGTAAATGAGATCGTGTAGACCAAAATCCCACTTCATTATTGTGACGTTTCCCTTTTGGATATAACTTTTCCGGAATAACAGATAATTCCATGGTATTGATACCCGTCTCAGTTCCATAATAAATTATTGGTTGTCCTATAAATGTGAAGAATATATTGTATAATAATTGAGTAAGCTAAACACATTACACTATCTAATTGCGATTGATTACAGATTAAACACTTCTTGCTTAGTTTCATGATGGAATTCACAATGTAAACATTGTGTTCATAGAACAAGATACTATTAAAATGTAGGAAACTTGTCAATCATGTCTGCCTGACGACGTCGTCAGTGATTGTTGGATTAATGTTCTGGTATTTGGAATTTGCAGGCAGTTGGAAAATGTGTTTTCATAAACATTCATCATGACATTCATCATGACGTCCTTATCATTCAATAGTGTTGCTATAAATGTCTCACAATTTGTGAATTCATATATTCAATGATGAATTAATTTGCATTAGAAGACTAGAATATCAAAATAGTAGAATAGTTTTAATTCATATAAACCGATGCCATAATCATGTTAACATACCTGGTAATAATAATGTTAATGCCAGCTGAATCACATCTGAATCTGTTGGATTATTTGAAGTACTTGCTATCAATCCTAATTTCTCCTTATCAGAGTCTGAATATGTAGAATATTTCTGTATGGTTGTTTTGTCGAATGATTCTCGCATTTCACTTCTACCCCTATTGAAAACCAATTCACGACTAATTATTAAATCAGCCACATCTCGGAACATTAACATTGGATCTGGATTATCGCCCACACCACAACCTGTATCACCAGAGTTCACAGCCAATAATCTGTAGAAGATATTGTATATACAATACATATGTGTTTGAGATTATGTGGATAAAGTGTAGTCACAATATTATAATTAATGTCTAAATAATTAATTGTTCAATATGAATACCAGTTAATCACTGATAGTTTAACAACTTCCAGAAATATGAATGAAGAATATTCCTTTGGATAGATTCGTATCTGATTTTATAAGTTTATGGTAAATACCTGCACTTGAGAAGAATGTCAACATCATACGGAACTCACACAACGGACTACAGTCCAAAGTCGTGCATAGAAGACAGATGATAGAGGCATACAATGCGATTCTCTTCCTTCTGATGGTTCGATGGATTATAAAGACTTCGACATCGGAGGGGAATCATGAAATACAATAGACAGCTTGCATGCAATTAAACGATTTAAACTTCTTAGATGATTTGGCTCTTCCATCACACACGCTAGTATGGGATGTTCACGTGAATCTTCTTATGGATCATTTAAAATTATGAGCTTATCAATCGTAATAAGTATAGATAACTTGTAATGATAGAAATAATGAAGTAATTACAAAGTAGAACAATGGGTTAGTTGATGATTGAGTAATGTATCAGTCAGTCAGTCAGTCAGTCAGTCAGTCAGTCAGTCAGTCAGTCAGTCAGTCAGTCAGTCAGTCAGTCAGTCAGTCAGTCAGTCAGTCAGTCAGTCAGTCAGTCAGTCAGTCAGTCAGTCAGTCAGTCAGTCAGTCAGTCAGTCAGTCAGCCAGTCAGTCAGTCAGTCAGTCAGTCAGTCAGTCAGTCAGTCAGTCAGTCAGTCAGTCAGTCAGTCAGTCAGTCAGTCAGTCAGTCAGTCAGTCAGTCAGTCAGTCAGTCAGTCAGTCAGTCAGTCAGTCAGTCAGTCAGTCAGTCAGTCAGTAACAACGTAGAACTTCGTACGTACGTATATCAGTTCGAGTTGCCACACCACCTTAACACAGAGATGCAGTGGTCGATTCAAATCCTGCAGTGCTAGATGTAATAAAATTACGAGCTGTAATCAGAAAAATTAGGGTTTGACGATGTTATTCAAGGAGTATAATCCAGTGAAATAAATTTGGAAAGAGAAAAAAGAAAGGGACATGAAGAATTCAGAAGATTAGAATTTGGGAGAACATAAAGAGTGAATACACCTGCGCTATTGCAAACTATTTTGAGCCATGTCATTCAAGGTCTCTAACCATCGGTTGCTATCATCTCGCGGTCCCCGAAACCAGGTAGTCTACACCTACCAATATGACTCAGACTACTTGTCAGTAACTTCATGGACTTATGCCATGTTTTGGTCTGGCTGCCCCTAACTTTCTTCTAATCTACTCCTATACAACAAAACATCGCAAATCAAGGCAGTCGGTCGTTGGGCATACGTAACACATGTCCCAGCCATCTCAACTGACGAAATTTCACTAAGTCATTCGAGTAATGTATAGAGTGGTATGAATTAAAAACCAATTAGTAAATTAGGATAAGATACATTGAAATTCATAAACATAAAGAAGACAACTGTTGGTATGTTAGTCGAATGATACCATTTTATCATCAAAGTGACTTGCTGAACTTGAAGTTAGCCAAGGTTCAAAAAGCTTTTGGACATATTTCTCTTCAACATAAAGATCCAGTTTTTTTTTCTTCTAAACAACTAATGTTTCTACCAGTTGAACGATTCTCTATCTGACAGATTTACGCAGATAACTATTGATATGATTTATTATTGTAGATGACTGATTTATGTTAGATGTAAGATTCATTAGTATCAAATGGAGTAGACTAGAACTATTGACATTGTTAAACTACACATTTACTTTGATATCATGTAGGTGTCTGTGACCATGAAAATGAAAATTTTTGGGACATCTGAATTATTCTACACGAGCAGTTAGACAAATAGTCTACGTAGTTTGTCTTTCAATCTCGAGGTTATCAAATGATGCACAGAAAACTATATTCTGCCTACATTGAAAGTTTATTGAATTGATCTGCATAACTTTACTATCAGAGTATCGCTGAGTGTGTAACCTATATATATATATATATATACCAAACACATAAACAAAGACTCTTTGTTTACTTACCTGTTTATTCTTGGACAGTTTCGCCTTACTCATTTAATTCCTTAAATTCACTGTAAAAACGTAGTAAACTGTACGGTCGAAACTATCATTGGTCTGTATTTATACGAATATCTCTGATGTTCAACCAATCATTCAGTCAGTCAGCTACAATGAAGGAACAAGCACATATATACATCGGTCCTAGATGCCATACCTGATTAGCACAACAAGATGAACACCAGATTAATAGAAGTCCTTACTTCAATGGTAGTGATATATGAAAGATTGCATATAAGGATACAGTACAGAAAGAAAGAATTAGTTCGTAGAAAGAAAGATATGAAGCGATTTCAATATTCTAGTTTAAGGGAAGACAGAGAGTGTATACACCGGCGCCATTGTGATCGATTCTGAGCCATGTCACCCAGAGTCTCCAACTAATCATTATTGGGTTTTACTTGGCAAAATTTAACAAAATTAATAATCAATAACGAACTTACTTTTCTTTCCCACTTTCCTTAATCCACTTGTTCATTTCTTCTCTTACAATTTCAACAAATTTCACACTTCCATTTCTATATAATTGAGAATTAGGACAGTTTTCCGACCATGTTGAACCGAGCTAAATATACAGATAGAGTAAAAGAAAAGAGAATAATTTATAAAGGGACAAACAATTATCATTGAATTGTCATTTGTAGACTTACGTTGCTTTGCGCTCCTTCTTCTTTTTCTTCAACAAAAAATGCAGCATTATCCAGGAGAATTCCATCTATTCCTTCTTTCATCCAAAAATGGATCACACCCTATCGGTAATAATACAGTTTAATAAGTGGATTCATTGAAACATACAAATATTGCTTTTTGAGTTTCGGAAGAAGTTAAATCTAGATCTACATTCGGTGATCCAAATACAGAATAAAACTTCTGATCACCGATATCTACATTGATCGCTTTTCCGTATCGTGACATCTTTATGTAAAATAAATTATGAGGAGATTATGGAAGAAAGAAAATAACTTTACTTTATTATTAAGAGAATTTTCAAACGAATTCAGTTTGACTTTGTTCTCTGTGATCCATTTATGATTGATGGATATCGCATTGAAATCGAATGTCAAGATAACTTTTATATCCTTTTTATGAAATTGTTTTAAAAGTACACGAAAATCATCCATTGTGCCGACGGCCTCATCTAACTGCTCGTAATCTTCCACTAATCCGAGCATATTGTATGAATTAGTGTAAAATCCTTTAGTAATGGGACCTAATATCACATATCCTGCACCGACTACAGTTTTGATGTAATCTACTTCAGATGTGAGTCCTATAAGGATAAAATCATTTGAGTGATAGAGGTTTTACACTAATACTCATTACCGTTTAGATCTCCGACTAAATCGCCAGAAGTATCTTTAAATGCAAACACATCTAACCAGTAACCAACTGTTGATTTCCAAAATGGTAATTTGGGCACAGATGGACATTTTTCTCCAACAATTATGTAAACAATACATGCTGCTAAAAGACCAAAAAATATAATCCCAAATCCAATTAATAATCCTATTCGAATATATCTCCAACGAGGTTCAGTTTCGTCTAAATTAATCAGATCTTCACGAGTGAGTAGACGACACTCTAATTGAGATTTATGCTCAAGTAACTTTGACGAAAAACTCGTTGCATCTTCTTCTTTCGTCAACGTCTTGTCAAAGTTCTTTGAATAATTATGCTCGCCATTCTCCAAATCAACTTTCTTTCTTTCAGTTATCTGCTTTGGATTTTCAGGTCTTTTCATAAATAGTAGACCATCGATGATTTCCATGACTTTGTTTGGATACCGACTTGTTCTCTAATGAACTGTAATGAAAGTAGTCAATTTGAATAACAAGACAGTTGCTTCAATCTTTCACCATTTATGCGTTCTTATTTATATACTATTCCTCTAGCCAAATAATTGCTGTGCTTGAACATACAGAAATGTTATAGTATCAAATGGAATGAACAACTAACCAGTCAATTCAATCTCTTTTCATAATCATTGGATAACTAGTTTGACTTTCTCTCTCTTTCTCTCTCGCTCTTTGTGTGTGTGTGCGTGTGTGCGTATCTAACAGAGAAATGCAGTTCTGAAATGATGATCAAAATAATTAGACAACAAATGGTAGTAAATTTATCTTGATGTAGTTACGGCCTTACACAAACTTATTTAAAAGTACTTTATTGTATGAAGTCAGTAAATTACTTGTGAACAAGAAGAACTGGTTAATTAAGTTGAATATTGATGACTTCAGTCCCATGTAGTAGACATATAGGTAAACTATATAAGCAACTGAATACTGAAAACACAAGAACTACTGAGGAGTCCCGTACTAGGATGAAACGGTTGTCTAGTACTTTCATGTCTTCAGTGGTGGTCTGACGTTGTTCCATTCATGATAGATCAATCTAAACTCGACAACCTTCACAACCCCATACTCAAAATTAATAACTAACTAAAGTAATCTACGTTGTCATTTAAAACGAATTAAGATAGATCAACGAGTAAAGTGTTTCATTCCGATGAAAACACTTGCTCGAGTTGTACAACTGCTTACTTACTTACTCACTTACTTACTTATTTACTTAAACCTTTTACCCTCAATGGAGCACATGCTGCCGATAAGCATTCTCCAACCCACTCTGTCCTGAGCCTTCCTTTCTAGTTCTATCCAATTTTTGTTCATTCTTTACATATCTATCTCCACTTCTCGACGTAACGTGTTCTTCGATCTTACTCTTCTCCTTTGACCTTGAGCATTACATGTGAGGGCTTGCCTTTTGACGCAGTTGGGTGCTTTCCTAAATGTGTGTCCTATCCACTTCCAGCGCTTCTTCGTCCTTATTTCTTCCTCCACTGGGATCTGGTTTTTTCTCTCCCATAGTAGGTTGTTGTCGATAGTGTCTTGCGAACGGATCCGAATTATTTTGCATTGACAATTATGGCGAGACTCAATTTATGAACGAGCCAATTAGAAGCGTTTGAGGAATTTCAAGGTCACGGCGCCAATTTCAATACTTGATGCTCACGTACGATCGGTTTACAGTGGATTTTAGAGAAGAGGTGATTATTGAGCAGCTACAGTTTTTTATTTTTTTTGTTTTAACACATAGATATTGTTACAAAGAGGTACCAAATGCATATGCGCCACACAGATCTCATTTGATATTTGTGAGGGCTGGGATACTGCTCGGTTGCCCAAACAGAAGCAGGTGATTTTCTTAGGGGGCCACACCCGAAGATTTTGACCTGAAGGTCTGATCCACAAGGCAGTGGAGCATCGTGAGGTGATGCATTCCCATGGTAGCCGGTGACCAACGATTGGTTCATACGCCATTTGTTTCTTCAGGATACTGGAGCCCATGTGCACCATTGGTTCGGGATCCGGTTAAAGCATCATTTTCGTAAACAACACCCCGCCACGAGAAGACATAAGTAGGAATTCCCTGACAGAGGCTATATACGCGTGGCCGTGTGAGAGCATTTCGGGAGGGCGAGCGGACTCTCCCCGCTCTCGGCAGTACCAGGGCATTTGGGGGCTACAAGGGATGGGACTACTAAGAAGTTCCTTTGCCTGTGACTGCGGTAATCAAATGACTGCATTACCGTGCTCAGACTATAGTGATGACATTGTGTTTCGATGTTCTTTATGTTGGAGAAAGAAGTCTGCTCCAACGGGGACTTTCTTTGCTCAATCGCGACAGAGACTGAGGCAAATCAAGATAATAGTTGCAAATTGGATTATTAAAGCATCAGTAACACTGGCTCCATCATTTGCAGATGTTATTGAAACTTCAGCCGTCCAATGGTATGAGTATTGTCGTGATATATGTGCAATTAAAATGACACGTTTACACGAGTCATTCGGAGGAGTCGAAAGTATTTGGAAATAGATGAAACAGTAGTGTGAAAGCGAAATTACAACAGGGGGCTTAATATAAGGGAGAATGGGTATATAGCACTTCAGTAAATATACTTGACAGGTACTTGGAATTTACGACCGATCAACGCAAAAGCGGCATTTTCAGAGGGTCGATAACCGGCAAGCAAGCACAATAATACCGATTATACAGGAATACGTGCAGCCGGGCACTACGACATATACAGATGATTGGAAAGCGTATAGATGCCTTCATAGACTTGGATATGTTCATCATGCCGTGGCGCATAAACGTCATTTTGTCGACTCTACCACCGGGGTTCATACTAATAACACTGAAGCCATGTGGTCAAGATTGAAGGAGTTCTTAAGACCGTATCACAACTATTATGGAGCCATATGGACGAGTTTCTATATCGTATGCATTATGAATTCACAACATCTGAAACTTTATAAAACCTTAACAAGTTTCTAAATCATGTAGAAGAAGAATATCCACTGTAATTCACTGGTTTCGTACAATATATTTTTACTTTATACGAACTGTCTTCTGACTGGCCAATAATTGTCAAGGCCACTGAAGATTTGTTTAAAGATCGTTCATAAAATAGAGTCGCACCGACAATTGCTATAAACACTTGTATCTTGTGGATGATGGATTTTGTAGTTCTCCAAGTTTCCGCCAAATACAGTAGAACTGTCTTCACATTTGTATTGAAAATTCTGATTTTGGTGTTGGTTGATTGACAGTTATTTTGAGTTGTAGATGTTCTCCAGTTGTAGACATGCTGCTGTTGATTTGCCGATCCACACATTCACATCTGCATCAGATTCACCGTGTTCATCAACCATGCTGTCCAGATATGTCAATGTCTTACATCATCCAAATCTTCTCCATCAAGTGTGATTCGTTTGGTGCATGTTGTGTCGTATCGGAGAATCTCGCCTTTCCTATTGTTTATGTTGAGACCTAGTGTTGCTGAGGCTGCTGCTACACTGGTCGTGTTCTCCTGCATTTGTTGTTGCGTGTGTGATAGAAGAGCCAAATCTTCTGTGAATTCTAGATTGTCCAGTTGTATCCCAGCTGTCCACTGTATCACATGCTTTCCCACAGATATTGACATCTTCATGATTCAGTCAATCATCAGGAGAAAGAGGGAGTGTGAGAGTAGGTAACCTTGCCTCTCACCTGTCTTTACTTCGAACGAGTCTGTGAGCTGCCATCCATGAACGATTTTGTAGTTTAATCCATCATATGAATTCAGAAGAATGTTGACTAAATTCTCAGGTACGCCGTAGTATCGAAGAAGTTTCCATAGTGTTGTCAAATGCTTCCCCGTAGTCAATGAAGTTGATGTAGAGTGATGAATTCCATCCAATCCATTGTTCCATAATGATCCATAGTGCCGCGATTTGGTCGATACACAATCGGTCATTACGAAATCTCGAAGTTGAGTGTCTTCGGAGTCATTCCTTCTGTTTAACAGAATCATGTTGAGAGATGAGTGATGCCCCTATAGTTATCACAGTTGCTTAGATCGCCTTTCTTTGATATCTAGATCAATTGCCCATCTTTGCAGTCTGTTTGTACTTGTTCTTCATCTGTTTTCTCGTTATTCACCATTAAATTAATTTAAATTATGTCTGACAAATTTCGTGTGTTATACCGTTTCCCAGAAACAACTTGGTCAGGCAATTTATCAAGTGTATATGTATGCAAATGAATGTTGATTTCACTTTGACAACAAGTATAATGCATATTGACAACAGACAATTTTATGGGTTTGCCTGAGTTGGAATGAGAAGACATTGGAATGTGATTAATTGGGATATGACATACTACTTATGAACTAAAGGTATTTGCTTGTATGATCGTGATTGGATATGAAGAGATGTGATCTGAAGCATTTGAGCTATCAGTCGGAGATAAGTTATCCCGGTACCGTTGACAACTGACACTGTCGATAGACTAAACACAATTAACAGGCTTGGTGATGTCATTTATGAAGTGTTGGGTAAGTGTATCAAAACAAGTATTTGTTTAGATATTGCCATCTCAGTAACATTGAAAATTCTGTCAATATGATCAACATTATTTTGCAGTGGTTTCTGATAGTCCTTCTTCTAAATTAGTCTGACACACAGTCGATAATTCCGACTGTCTGAAAAATGCAATAGATATTGTTCACTTGAAAATTACCGTGGTTCTTATACCAGATGTCGTATTTGAATAAAATGTGTAATGTTCACAGAAGAACACAACAAAATGGGTACACGGAGACGGACACACAGGAGGTGATGACGGAGCTAAAACACACAGCTAAATCTTTAACTACATCTGTAGTTAAAGCTAATTGGTGAAAGATATTCCATATTTGTCTACATGACTGATCAATTATTTGCTAATTCGTGCTAAACTCACTCTACAAACGAATGTCCGATGTCTTTGTGAAACCAATCAGGATAATTAAAGTATAAGGTTGATCCTGATTACTCATGTTGAAAGAAAACTTCCGAAAGATAATAGGGTGTATGTAGTTCACAATTGCAGGACGAGTAACAGTAAACATGTACAAAGCAGTCAATAGGATCATCGTCTTTATGATGGCACATGTTACCTGTACATTGAAGTATTTTGGTTTGTACTCTAGTTCACAGTTTCTGCTTGTGATTCAACAGACTCATTTGATTCCGAATCAAGTTACTTACTATCAAATTCTTTCCAAATTATCACATTCAAATATATTCTTCTGAAGCTTGTTCTTCGAGAAAATACTAGACGATAACATTGATGACATTAGCACAACAAACCTTCAATGTTTCAGATCTACATATAAGTGAATAGTATGTATATATCTTGAGAATCTGGGTGAATTGCAGTACATCTGTCATCCATCTGTGTATA